CTCAAAAGGTTCGCCATCACTGGTCTAGAGTGACCTCATTCTAGCTCACGCCCCCTCTGCTGGAAGAACCACTACCTGACTCTACGTAACCACAGGCAGCTCATACTCCCTCAGATTCCATAGTGTGCTCTGTGCAGATTCACACGGCACTGGAGTTGTTAATAACCCTCAAATGCATGTTTCTGGTTTCCCCCCCCTAGACTGCAGATGCTCTGAGGCTAGGGACCATTGCTTCACATTTGGGTATAGCCCTAACATAAATGGTCAGCAAGTAGTGGGACTTGTGATAAACCACTTGTCTGCTCGTTGGATCCAGAGTGTAGCTTCTGAACATGACTTTTAGTATCTGAAAGACCTCAGTTCAAAACTTGACCTTAGGCAAGCTATTCAGCTTCACTGGGCTTGTTGCCTCATCTGTGAATGACACTCAGTGCAGATGGTTCTTGGGTTTGCTGTGGATTTAAGTGAAGTAACGCACGTGCTATGCTCGGTGGGTGCAGTGCTTGGCATGGAGTCAGGACTCGATAAACAGCAGCTGTTACTATTATCATCTGGTCCTGTTTTGGGCCTGTGCCCAGGTACCTCTGCTGCAGCAAGACTCAACAAGTAGCAAATTAATGGAGACGCTGATTCTAGGAGAGGCATCCTAGAGGGAATGTTGAAGTGAGTTATGGAAATCCAACAAGGAGAGTAATCGAAGCTTAACCCAGTCCTATTTCTCCCAACTTTTCAACAGCCTGCAGACAGACTAGGTTTTAGCGGATTCTCCAGAGATTCCAGAGCTTTCCCCAGAGGCAGATTGACTGTGCACAGCTCCAAAAACCCGTGCTTGTCACCTGACCTTGAACATCACTAGCAGCCACTGAGGAAGGGGGCTCAAGTGCCTCATGGAGTCGGGGGGGGCTCTTTCAAGGCAGGTTGATGCCTTGGGCCAGAAATGCAGCTCACCAGCCCGCACACAGGTTCTGCATGTGGCAACGCCCTGCCTGCTTCCTGGTCTCTCGCCCGGATACATTGATCTGTGTGCAGGTTAGTTGGTGTCATTGACTGTTGAGGTAAGTGTGGGTGCTGCTGGCCCAGGATGGAAGCTTCTAGTGTGGGGGCCCTCTCTCTCTGAGGAATCTTCAAATCTGAAACGGAAAAAAAATCTTGTTCCATTTCTTTATGTGGTGGCTTTCTTCTTCTTATTTTTAAACTAGTGGCCCGGTGCACGAAATTTGTGCACATTAAAAGGGGATTAACTAGAGGAAATATTTTAATATTGCTATTTGCCCTTTCTCTATAATAGAAGTGTCAGAGATGAAAGAAAATTAGTAAAATGTATATGAAAATCTTCCTCCTGTCAGAGTCTGGGGTGCACCATGGGACCCAGAATCAAGTCCCCGCCCACCCACATGCACCTTGAAATCATGTGAGACCCAGACCCGGCCAGCCCCACCCCCATTGGGTTAGATCCAGACCCGGCCGGTCCCACCCTTGTCAAGCCCCGCTGGGTGGGGTCGCAGCCTCAGGTCCCCTGGCCTGGTGCCAGGTGGGGGGCACATCCTGAGGTCCCCCGTCAAGCCCCGCCAGGCGGGGGGTGCGGCCTGAGGTCCCCCGGCCTGGCGTTGGGGTAGAGGGCACAGCCTGAGGTCCCCCGTCAAGCCCCATCAGGTGGGGGGCGCAGCCTGAGGTCCCCTGTCAAGCCCCATGGGGGGGGCTTGGGGGGGCGCAGCCTCAGGTCCCTGCTGATTGCTCGTTAAGGGAACTCAGCCTACACTGTGGGTGCAGCTATCTCGTGTTATGGAAACCCCTGCCTCTGCTGTGGGTGCCGCCATCTTTGTGGTGGAGTGATGGTCAATTTGCATATTCCCTTTTTATTATATAGGATGTGGTTTTATTGATTTCAAAGAGAGGGAGGGAGAGGGAGAGAGAAATAGAAAAATGGATTCGCTGCCTCCTACAGGCTCCCTACTGGGGATTGAGCCCACAATCCAGGCATGTGCCCTGACTAGGAATTGAACTGGCAACCTCTTGGCCCAATGCTCAACCAACTGAGCCACACCAGTTGGGCTACGTGGTGGCTTTAATTTCATTCCACTGCTTCACAGGAGCCCAGAGGTTCCAGAGTGCCTCTCATCCTGTCTGAACCCTCTGAATGTAGCTGTGTGTCACTTTGTAAGGAAGGAAGAAAACTGGTCTTTGTTGTGTGCCTCGTACCTGGCAAACATCACTCTCTCCATTAGTCAAAAGCAACTGAGACTCAGAAGAGTTAAGGAACATTCTCAAGGTCAAATGGCAGTAGAGCCAGGATACAAACCCAGGTGTATCTGACCAACGACCTCAGTCAGTGATGGCTGACTCCCGGCTTAGCCGCTCGGGGGGCAGATGGCCAGCCACCATGGGAGGGATGTCCAGGTCATGTGGTCTTTTTAAATGGAAATACTTTGAAATCTAGGAGCACAGTTTGAATTGAAACCATGAGGTAGATTTTGTACCCACCATGTGCATGGCTGTTTGGCCTGCGCTGGTATTATCTATTGCTGTGTAACAAATCACCCCACACTCAGCTGATTAAAATACCACACGTTTAGTATCTCATCGTTTCCAGGGGTCAGAAATCCAGGCAGGGTTAGCTGAGTCCTTTTCTCAGGGACTCGCAAAGCGACTATTAAGGTGCTGGCCAGGGCTGCACTCTCACCTGGAGGCCCGACCGGGGAAGGACCCATTTGTCTCCTCAGATGGCGGTTGGCAGCATTCAGTTCCTTGAGGCTGTAGGACTGTAGTCTTCAGGTTTTTGCTGGCTGTTGGCGGGAAGCTGCTCTCTGATCCCTGAGGCTACAGCAGTTACCTGCCATGTGCGGATTGCCAATGTGGCCAGCTGCTTCCTCACAGCCAGCCAGGGCGTGAGAGGTTCCTGCACGCTGGGCCCTGTCATCTTTTAGAACATAATCACACGCATCCTGTTACCTTGTCATAGTCCATTGGTTAGAAGCCGGTCACTGTCCTTCCCACCGAGCAGGGAGCATGGGTGGGGGCACTTTGAAGGTCTGTCCCTCACATCCATCTGGTCCTTTCCCCCTGTCGTCTCCTTTCCTACTGACCTCCTTCATTTCCACATCCTGGTCTAGACTCAGACCTAGGGCTTTGTCAGTAACTGAGGGCTTTACAGTGACGCTGTTAACAGGTGCTGTCACTTTATGCCGGGCGCCAGGCTAGTTTTCTTTTTGACGTTCTATTGACGTGTAATATGCTCAGAGAGATGGCAACCTCCTAAGTGTAGAGCTGGATGAAATTTTTCAGTCTGAACCACCACACTGATCAAACGACAGGAAATTACCAGCACCCCAAATTTGTTCTCAGGCTCTATTCCAGTCCCGAACACCCTCAAGGTGAATGCCTAACAGCATAGATGACGTTCACCTGCTTTTGTACATTATTCTTAACGGAATCCTCCAGCCTGTGGGATTTCGTGCCCAGCTTCCTTTATTCAACATGCTATTGTGGCCTGTGGTTCTAGGCTGTTCATTCCCACTGCTGACTAGGATCCCATTGTGTGAACAGACCACAATTTACTCATCTGTGCCCCTGCTGACAGGCGCTTGGGTAGTTTCCAGCGGGAGGTGTGAGGAACGGTGCTGCTACGATCAGGCTAGTATGTCTTTTGGTGAAGTACTTCTTATATACGCGTGCCTGGAGTGGGCTTCCTGGCCGTAGGATACACGTGTTTTGGTGAGCTATGTTTACATACATGTTCCTCACGTCCGCGCTGTGAGGAAGGCATCCTCCTCCCCTGTGCACCCCAGCTCTGGAGCCAGACCCACCTCCTCCGTGGGCCCTGAAAGAGCAAAGGGAGGAAAGGTCAGCGGGCACAGTGGCGAGTGTGGGCCTGGCCCTGATGTTTCCTCACTATTGACTACACTGTACTTTTTCTTAAGAGACCTAGTGTCTTGGATGATGTCTGCATACCAAGCCACCAAGCAAATATCCTTTGCTCATTTAATTCATATCCCAATTTCTTTATTAGTCAAAGACAAATCTAACCACAAAGCAAAGGATGTGACAACCAGCATGACAGAACGGATGTAATTTCAGGTAAAAGGAAAGAAAATCCAGGTTGGGGTTCACCTCTGTGGCCTCCCCACCAGCACACAGGATTGCTGTCGGGCTGTTGAAGCACCGGCAATATGCTGCCCTCCCCTTTGTGACGGAGGTCCCCCCACTAAGGAACTCTGAGACCCAGGCGTGTCTGGAAGTCTCTGGTCTATGAGGAGTTCATTAATGCACTTGAGATCATCATTTTAAACAATGTTTCAAAGTCCCGTCCATTTACTTTGGGCTTGTTCTTAAGCTAAAATAGATTCGATGAAGGTAGTAAGGAACGTTTTCCAAACTGCCAGCAAGTGGCAGAAAGACTTCAGGCTCCTGCTAACACGTGGGCGCACTTGCTTCTTCCAATTTGTTTCTCTGTCCTCCATCTCCATCTGTGTGTGTGTGTGTCTGATATGTATGGTGTGTATATTACACATATCTCATATATATGTTAGAATGACAGAAAGATATATATTTTAATCTCTATAAACAAAATTAGGATTCCACTGCATCTTATTTTTTATCAGCATTTTTCCATGTGATTAAAAAAAGTAATTTCAAAATGTGATTTTAAAAAATGCCTTTTGGTAGTCCATCCCATGCAATACTGAGATGAATTTAATTCTTTATTTTGGGACATTTAAGCTGCTTTCAATATTTTGCCATTGCAAATAACTGCATGAATGTGCTTGTACCTCCATCCTTGGGGACAGCTCTGATATTTTTCAGAGGTTAAATGACAAAACATTGAATAACCCACCACATGGGTTGGCTTTTGGATGTTGTCTTTTGAGTCTCATTATCAAATACAACTTGATGGCACTGCCAACAGCATCTGAGAGTCTCTTTTTGTGCCCACACTGGTAATTTTCTAATAGGAATAATTGTTCTTTATTTTGTAGGTAAAACATGGGAGTTTGGTTTAAGTGGAATGTAACTGATTCCTGGGAGGTGAAATATGATTTTGGGTTTGCTGTCCATTTGTGTTTCTCCTTATTTCACAGGGTTTCCCTTTCCCCACAGGGTGCCAGCCCGGCTCAGGCAAGTCCTGCCCTTCCTTCTCCACGGGACTCACGTCAATCTCTCACAGAAGAACGCGATGCCGTCAAGTGCTTTGCAAACAGAACACGCGTCAGGAAAATGCACACTTACGAGGTCCGCAGGGGGCCCGGCGGCCGCATTTGTCATCCCTCCAACGAGGACGCCCGAGTTCCTCCCAGGGCTGTAACCCTCACATCTCCCCGCGGGCCGCGCTGGACACCGCTGCCCAGGGGCCATCAGAGCCGCACGACCTAACAACTTCACCAGGTTTTTACACGACTGTGCCTCAGAGGAAGTGATCCCCGCTGCTCGGAGGAAGCGAACAACTATAAATCAGGTTCGAATGTGGTGCCGACTTATTTATCCTTGTGAGAGTTTTACGTTCTGAAGTCAGCAAGGGACTGGTTGCTGGTCCGTGGCCCATGTGCAGGCATCTCTTCGGGGAAGCTCAGTCCCCTTGCTCAGTGGGGTGGCATGTGCCGGGGGCTTATAGGAGCCGAGGCACCCCACCGGACAGAGGCCCGGTCGTGTATCTCATCTGGACCTAATGTATCTTCCAGAGCCGTGGACACAGACAGGAAGCCACCACACAGCGGGAAACGCTTCCTGGCTGTGCTGAAACTGCTCCCGGCCCCTCCCTCCTCCTCCGGCGGGAATGTTTGCCTGGCCGGCAGCTGCATCCTGGCAGACACGATGGTGAGTCATTTCAGGGTCGATGTGGTAGAAGAAGAGTGGCTTTCTGGCCTGTGGCTGGTGCTAATTAGCAACCAAGGCCAAGGCTGAACTCAGTGTCCTGCAATGAAGTATGCTACATCCTTACAAGAGATTATTGGGCAACTATTAAAAACAATGTTTTCAAATGTTTTTAAACTACTGATAAATGCTCATGACATGAAGTAAAATGAAAGATATAAAACTCACATAGAGAATGTAGCATGTGATCCAGATGATGTAACAGCCTCGCTAGAAATATTGTAAAATGGTAACCACGGTGATTTCTGCAGGTAAGATTATGTTTGGGTTTTATGTCCTTTGTTATTATACAGTGGGGCCTTGACTTACGAGTGTCCTGACTAACGAGTTTTTCGAGATAAGAGCCGTCTCTCGGCCGATTTTTTGCTTTGAGTTGAGAGCTGAAATTCGGGTTATGAGCCAGCTTCAGATACCCCACCGCTAGTTGGCGCAGCGAACGTCACAGTGAACGCCACAACATCAGCCCAGCATCACGTGTCTCACTCCTTCACTTTATGATTTGACATACGAGTAATTTGAGTTACAAGCTCCGTCACGGAACGAATTAAACTTGTAAGTCAAGGCCCCACTGTATTTTTAAAATTTTCTAAATTAAGTATCTGTGACTCTTACTTACCATCCCCCTCCAGTTGTTAATCTTTTGAACAACCAAGTCTGATGTGCTATGCCCCAGGCCTCTGAAGATTTTGCAAGTTCTTACTTGTTATCCAATTCCGTTCTCATCATGTGGGAGCTGGAAAGGGGTGAGCTGTGAAACCGAGGGTGAGGCCACCGCCTTCACCCGTCTCACTGGATATTAGCCGCACCTGCCTCCCTCACATGCTTCTTTCCCTCCTCCCGCAGGACACAGACATGGCGGTGACATCTCAACAACAGTATCAGCCGCAGGACCACCCATGCGCCAGACACTGAACGAAAACACGCCCTGTTGTCTTACTTGATCTTCACAACGACTCCTCTACACGTGAGAAAGCTGCGTTTATTGAGGTTGAGTAATGAGTGGGTCTACATTAATACATATTCATTTGCGGGGGAAGGAGGGAGGAGAGGCCCCGGGACCTGTGGCCTGGGCTGCTGGACTGAGAAGCTGGCTGGGGCGTTGTATCACCACGGGGCCATGTGTACGAATCTCTCTGACCAGGAGTGACAACCCACGCGAGAATAACACGAGTTCACGTGGACAGAGGTCACAGGTGTCTTGCTCGTGGGAAGGAAGAGGTGGGACGCTCTCAGTCAGGAACGTGGCCCTCAGCTGCGCCTGCCTTGCCCTCACCCTCACCGCTGTTGGCCTGGCCAGCGGTGGTAAGGGTTTGAGACGCCGGGCACCGTGCAGGCCCGGGGCCCCTGTGGATGACGTGGTGGCTCCCTGGGGAGTTTGCCTGGAAGTGTCAGCAGCAGATTGGGCCTCACGGGGCGGCTCCCCAACCCATGGGTGGTGGGGGCCCAGCAGTGAGATGGGGATGCTTGCTGACCAAATGGGCTGTGAGGCGCTGATGTGAGAATACTGAGTATTCCAGACAAGTGAATCCCACCTACTATCACGTAGACATGCAATCACACAGTTACGTTTTTCCTATTCTAATATATAGAAAAATGCAGACTGTACAAAACATTGTTTTTAATACAACAAAGGCAGTTCATTGTGAGCCCTGGTCCAAGGTTAGCCAGTGCCGAATGTAACTTGCATGTGTTTTTCTAAAATAGTCGCTTGAGCCGTGAGTACTGGTCTGCCTCAGCCATAGCCTGGACAGATGGCCCCGTGGGACCTCCAAGCTCAAGGGCAGTTCTTCCTGGGCCAGGGTCACAGGCTCTTGAGGTCCTCCAAGACCACGTGGGCTGCATTGCGACCAGCGGCTCCCATGACCCCTCCTCCTGGAAGGGAATCTCCCATGAGCCAAAGCTGCACTCCACGCCCCTCCCCCCGCCCCCGCCAGGGAGCGGCCAGGGCTCACAGGGGAGCAGTGGCCAAACAGAGTGAGGATGCTGGCGTGCTCTGGTGTGGGCCTCAGAACCACCCTGATCCCTGACCCCTGACCCCTGAGGAAGACAGGCTCTGGGCTCCCCTGCAGATTTCCTGCCTCAGAGCTCTGGGGAGGGTCCGGGCCCACAGTCCAAGCAAGTGCCCCTTTGGGTCTGAGCGCCCATGTGCCTGATGGGAGATCCTCAGCACGTGAAACTGGCACAGGACTGAGGGCTTGAGGGGAGGAGGGGAAGGACAGGGCCCAGGTAAGTGTTGGCATGAACGGAGGCCTGGGGGAGGCCAGTCACGCTGGGGATGGGGGGGGGGAGTGTTTAAATGGAGACATTAACTTACCGATCCTGACTGGTCTGAATGAAGGAGGGGATTTAGGGACATGGGTGCCTCACAGTCCAAACTGGAATGTGGGGAGATGCCTCGGGGACATACCCCCAAACCTCCTGAGGAGGGTGTGAGCTACCAGGCCTGTGGTTGTGGCCAGCCCGGCAGAGGGCACCAGGTCCCCCAGCCCTGAGAACCCTGAATGTGGGGATGGTTGTTCCTGTGGGGGTCCCGGGCCCCTCCCTGCCTCCCTCCCTGTTTATCCCGTTTCCGTCTGCATGCCTCTGACGTCCCGCCAGCCCTCGCCACCCACACGGGGTGGTGGGACGGAGGGGCACTCACCAGGGTGGGCCCCACTTCCGCAGAGGTAGAGGCCCGGGAGCGGGCAGCGGTGGCCGGCGTGCAGGGGCGTGGGGCGGGCGAAGTAGAGCTGGTCCAGGGCCATGGCGCCGTGGAATATGTTCTGTGAGGCAGGGCCACGGCGTGAACACGGAGTGTTTGGGTCTTCACTCCCCTGTGCTCCCCAAGGGTCCCCCTTCCAGGGTGCTCTCCTGGTTCTCAGGATGCAGAGAGGACACAGGGGCACATCCCGGGGCTGGGGGAGCTTCCCAGGGGCATGTTTTCAGGAAGAAAGAAGGTGGGAGCATCTGCAGAGGCGAGGGAACCGGGACACCGACAGGGAGATTCTCCATGTTCTGCTATGGACTGCGAAACCCGCTCCGTTTGCAGTGAGAGGAACCTGCTGATTTCGGCTGCTGGCACGTGTTTCTTTGACCAGGACACCGTCTGAGCCTGGGCCCGGGGATCCACGCTCCACAGAAACACAGCAAGTGGCAGACGAGGGGCCTGGGACTGAGCTCAGCTCTGCTCAGATGGCCTGGGCAGACCGGCCTGGCCGGGGCGGGGGCGGGGGGGCGGGCAGGTCTGGGCAAGGAGACGAACATCTGCAGGATGTCACCACCGGGTGTGCTTCCAGCGGCTTCTCTGCATGCCCCTCACCGACCTGTCCCTCAAGCCTGCTCTCGCCCGTCTCCCCCCCCCCCAGTGGAGACGCCACCTTCCTCTCCTCAACCTCCAGGCGGACCCTCATGTCACCCCTGCCCACCTCATGCCTTCCACACCCACCCACTCCTTTCCCTTCCCCCTGCCTGGCCTCCTTTATCCTAGAGCTGGACCAGGGATCCAATAAAATCTAACGTGAGCCACATAGGTGACTTTTATTTTCTAGGAGCCACATTAAAATTTAAAAAAGGGACTGGTGAAATCAATGTCAGTGTGTGTTTCATTTAACCCAGTAGACCCAGCACATTATCATTTCAACACGGGATCAATAGCGCCGTGATGAATGAGACACTGTACACTTTTCCCACACGAAGTCTTTGCAACCTGGTGTGCCTTTTACACGAGCAGCGCATCCCATCTGGGCCCAGACACAGGGCCACGGTCAGCAGCCACAGGAGGCTGGTGCCACGGGGTTGGGACTGGCCTCCTCACTCGCCCCCCTGCCTCCAGCCTCAGGGAGGCTTGGGACCCTGACCAGGAGCCTGAGGGCCGGCTGCCTGGAGGAAGGGCGCTCCCTCTGAAGAAGCTCAAATGGGACGGGCGGCCATGGACGTCCAGGTGGAGGGGCCCCAGGCCTGGTGAGCTCCCCAGCAGGTGCTGCCTCCCCTGCCTGGATCTCCCAGCTCTGCCCGCTCCCTAGATGGGGCCCCTCCTCTGTCCCCTCTCCGCCATGGGCCCTGCCACTGCCCTCCCTTCGGGTGAAGGCTGTGTGGGGGACACGCCAGGGAGTGGGGTACAGAGAGAAGAATGTGATGAGGGACCCCCGCACTTATTCTTACCCCTCCAGGAAGCCCAAAGATTCTCTCCAGGTCAGGCGGAGTGAGGATGTCTCTGCCCACCACGGAGCCCTTGAAGCCAGGGGCGTAGGCCTCGATGCAGTCGAACACTGGTCCGGGCAGCAGGGAGACGGGGTGTTAGGAGGAGGCGTTATGGTTCACAATTTGGCAAGTTTACTGTAATTCATTAAACTATACACTGCAAATTACATCTCAATAAGCAAAATTAGATAGATAGATAGATAGATAGATAGATAGATAGATAGAAACAATCCTCAGGCAAATAAATAATTCAGTACAAAGGCCTATGGACCTCACGCTAGTCCCACCTTCTTACCTCAACCCTCAACACAAAGTGATTTGTTTCTCCTTGACTGTGCAAAGCTTTCCTTACCGCATCGCTTTGCTCAAGCTATTTCTTTTGCTTGGAATGCCACTTGCTACCTGGCGAACTCCTGTTCATCCTGTAAAGCCCAGCTCCCATGGCCCCTGCTTTGGAAAGCTCTCCACGTCCCTCCGCCTACGCTTCCTCCTTCGGTTCACACAGGACCTTGTACTGTAAGATTGGTTTCCTTGTTACTCAACCCACTGGACCGTGAGCCACTCGAGGGCAGGACCTGTGTCTGTTTTACTTTCTTGGCCCAGTGCCTGACCCCGGGCATTCACTTTGTAGATTAGTTCCCTTGGATAATTCTCTTCTCATGGGGCAGATCCTGAAGGCGGGGGACGCAGAGGAGAGGGCCCTTCAGACCACCCAGCCAGCTGCCACTGCAGACAGGAAGTCTAGCGGAACTCCTTACCTTTGTCTGCATAAGCGTTTCTCTCCTGCTCATCCCAGACTTTGCCTCCGGCCAGGGTGTAGGGAGTGTACTGAGTGAAGAGGGAGACCACGTGGCAGCCGGGGGGAGCCAGCGTGGGGTCCAGTGAGGAAGGGATGCAGAGCTCGATCATAGGCCTGTGACAGGAGGAGGGACGGTCAGATCCGAAGAAGCAGTTGCCCCAAGGGAAGGGGCTGGGGCCGCTCTGAGATGACAGGGGACAAGAGGAAGGCCTGGGACGAGATGACGCCCAGGCCGGCGGATCGTCTCTGTGAGGCCAAGGTGGCTGGTCACCGGCACAGGGGCAGTGGCCACCAGGAGAGTCCAGACTACTCCCGAGGAGCCCAGCCCCAGCCCCGGCCCCAGGGTCTCTGGTCCCGCCAGCCCCAGCCCCGAATGCCTGGCCTTCCCTGCCTTCCTCCACCACCGCCTGTAGAACAAAGGGTCTCGAATGTCCCAGGCCCAGACAAACAGCACGAATGAGCGAAGGGGCCAGGCTAAGTCAGCAGGCGCTTGGGCAGCCAGGTTTCAACCTCTCTTACCCCTGCCTGGCCGCCTGCCCCAGCAGGCCAAGCAACACAGAGCTGCCGGGCACCAGCAGCCCAGGAACCGCCTCCTGCCCCTCCCTGGTTACAACACCTGTTCCGCCTGCAGCACAGTGTTCCTCTGGCCTCCAAACACTGCCATCCCTAGGCCACCGAGTGCCCCTCCTCGCCGCGTCCCTCCCTTCAGCGCGTCCTCTGGGCTGTGTGTCCACTAGGCCCCTCCAAAGTAACTTGCCAAACCGAATGCCTGGGATCCGCCAGAACCCGCTCCTCCCTGCCCACGCCTCCTACCCTCCCCGACAAAGGAAACACCCTCTCCTGGGGCTTCTCTTTCTCGTTCCGACCCCACTTCCTGCCCAACAGCCAATCCTGGCAGCTTTGCCCTCAAATACCCAGTATGTGGCCACTTCTCATCACTTCCACCGCCCCCACCCTGGGCCAAGCCTCCACCCCTTCTCCCTTGGGTCTGTAATAGTAACCCATTGCGTAGACATCCTTTTTCTCCGCACAGTGGCCACAGTGGTCCTTCTGAAATGCAAGCGAGGCTCCGCCCACACTCCCCTGGAGGAAAGTCCAGCAGTGGTCGACAGCCCAGCAGGATGTAGCAGCTGCGGCTCAGACCCCACCCGCTGCCCTTCACTCCCAGGTTCTCTTTCTCCAGCCACGCTGGCCTCATTCCCGTGCCTCCCACACAGCAGCACCCTCCTGCCCCAGGGCCTTTGCACCTGACTTTCCCCTCCGTCTGGATGTTCTTCCTCAGATACCCACAGACCTCCTTCAGGTCTCTGCTCAAATGCAAAGTTATGAGCGAAGCCTCTTCTGACCCTCTAATGAAGACTAGCAACACCCCCTCCCCGACCTATTTTTCTCCATGTCACAGTGCATGGCTATCTTGTCTCCACCGTAAAATGCCAGTGACCCGAGGGCAGAGGCCTTGTTGACTCTGCTTCTGCGTTGCACCCTGGTCCCTGAACTAACCTGTAACAGAGCAGGGCCCCAAATATTTATGAATGGATAAGTGGGCTTCGCCCTCTCCCCCTCTCTCGGGCCCACATCCTCTTTACCTCGTGCTGTTAACGTTTGTGTGACCGTCTTATGATTAACTTAGTGTCTGCCTCATGCCCCTACCCGACCCCTGGTCCCTTCAACCTGTGCCTATACAGAGCCTGGCACAGATCGGTTTTCAACAAGTTTTGGGGGACATGGACAGGATGGACAGATGTTTGCTCCCGAACATCCCTGCCTGTTCCTAGGATGGAGATACAGCTGCGGTGCGGTGGGAGGTGGAAAATCCTTTTCCAAGTTTTGCATGAAGCAGCTTATCAGAGATAAGAGCGGATATGGAATCCGTGAGTGTGGCCCCCTGGGCAGGCAGCTGAATTGGATAAATGCCCTTTCTCTCCTGCATTTTCTCCAGTTCTTCCCAAACGCCAGCTCTGTTCTCTTTGCTCCTTCTGCTAATCGTGCTACTTGGCTGAACCTGCTGCCCTCTTCGTCCCTTCCCTGTTCCGGCCCATACTTCCTGCCTGGGATGCATTTCCTCGCCTTGGATCTAAGTGTGGGTTTAGGCAGGTCCTACCTCGTTGTGAATATTTAACACCAGGAGGAAGAGACAAGCCTACTGTGTCCGGACAGTCGCCCCCACCTCCCTAGGGCCATGGCTGAGAACACCCCAGGGGTGCAAAGCCCAGGGACCGCTCACCTGTGGGAGGGCCGGCCATCCATGGCATCCTCAAAGGCCTGGTGGAGCAGGTGGGTGTCTTCACAGTTCAGGTGGATGGAGCACTGGTGATGGGGCAGCAGCTGGCCCCTGGGAGCATTGGGGGCCGCCAGGAAGTCAGGCAGCCGGTTGACAGCCACTGAGGAACCAAAGGAAGGGAGGGGTCAGGGCCCCACGGCCTGTGTCCTCTGCACCCCGGGATCCTCCTTCTCTCCCCATCACCCTGCTCACCCTGGGAAGAGAAAGTATGAAAAAGTGTTTCCCCTTCAAATCGGGGGGCAGGCTGGAGGTCGGGGACAGAAATGATGATGAGGTCAGTTTCCCCCAGACCTGGACGCTGCTCACTCTGAGCGTGGCCGAGAGACGGCCCTGCAGTGGGCTTTGCTCTTACCGTTGATCTTGGTGACCGGCGACCGGACGTCCAGCTGAGAGATCCTCTGTGTGAACTCTTCGGGAAGCCATTCCTGCAAGTGGAAGTCTCCATAAAGGCCTGGCCCCAAAGTGGCGGCCTTCCTCCTTGGCTCAGACCGGTCTCTTGACTTCTACTTCCGGAAATCCACCCCCTCCTCCGTGAAGCCCCCCCCCCTCCTGCTCAGCGCTGACCACTCTTCCTCTGTGACCTGCCAGCAGTCCTGACTGTAAATGGCCCACACTGACTCCTGCTTTCGACACGGCCCGTGGTCTGCAGGCCTCTTTCTCCTCCCGTCCGTAAGCTGTTGGAAGTCTTGATGATCTCAGAAGTGCCTTAACAAGAGGCTTTTGAACGGACGTTTGTTGGATTTTAGTAGTGGAATCACTCAGAAAAAAGAGGTGCTTGTCTCAAGAATAGCCCCAAGAATGGTTGGGAGCTCCGTGCTCATATCGCCGCCTATCTTAGGGACAGGGGAGGTGTGGTCAGTTGCAAGAATTGTTCCCAATCCTCAGGCCTCTCTGTGCATCCCTCTCTGTAATG